AAAGTGGTGGTATTTATGCCACTGCTTTTGTAAGTGTACTTGTCTGTTGAGAATTGGTAGAGTCAGATATGGTTAGTCAAAGACATTTTTAACTGTCAAGTAGTTAATTTTTAAAAAAAAAGACTTTGCAAAATTTCCCACAGTTTTTCACGACTTGTACCTGGAATAATTGGACCTTTTGATTGACTATTCCCAGAACACTTTTTGTACCTGACAGAAATAGCAATTAATCTTTTAGCTAGTTCTTACCACCACTTTTCATGGGCAAGAAACCGAGACACAAAGACATCATGTCGTTTGCGCCTGAGTGAGCAAATCTAGTCTGGAACTCAGTTTTCTCTAACTCTGTTGTTTATACTAGTAACCTTTATTACTCCAAAATATTTTTCTTTTCTACCTCAATATAAAGCCAGATTGAATAGAACTCCTCCAGGGAGCTCCTGCCTCAGGAAGCCAAGGAAAATAGTGGCTTTTAGATCAAGGCTAAGAGGTAGCTTTGCAGTTGCTAATTTGGGGAAAATGCCTCAGGATTTGGAAATGACCTTGTCTCTGCTTTGGTCAGCTCACCTTGAATGGCATCCCTGGAGCTGCCTTTAAAGAAAAAAAAGCTTAAAGCAGCTTTATTAAGGGGACTCCTAGGTGGGATTCCTTGGTCTGGAGAGACAGACCTGGGGAAAACCGGGCCCTAAAGTGGGGTGGAGCAGGGTGTTTTTTGTTTTTTTATCTTAAAATTTCCATTTAATTTACTTAATAAAATCCAGCTTAAGTCAAATGGTAGCATAAAAACTATCTCATGTGCACAGGAAGTTTACTTCATAATCTCAAATGCTTATTACCCATTGCCTCAAGTGTTAATTCTTTTAAGTTTCAATTTCTAATCTTGAATAAACTCCCCACATTTGTGATACAGTTAAGAAATTCAGTAGTTGTATAGTGTTTTCTATTTTTGTTTTTTTATTTTATTAATGTTAATGAACGTTTACAGAAATTTTGGATTTTCATTCATTAATTGTTGCAGGGGGCAGGTTTTGATAATAAGGGTCTTTAGGGAGGAGATGGAGGGACATACCATTGTGGTTTAGCCAGGTGAGAGAGATAAGGACGGTATGATGCTAAAAGAGGAGGTTCAGTGGGTAAGATGGTTGAGCAGGAAGGGCCGGCTGTACATCAGCTCGAAGGGGCCTAGAAAGGATGATGAATGGGGTGTTGCCCGGATGCTGCTTCCACACTCTGTTTATGGAAACTACAGCACAGGCTGCCTTAAGGTAACCTTCAGAGGGTAGAGAGCTGCTGTCAATAAAAAGAATATGGTCTGGATTAGGGGTATGTTGGTCAGATAGGGAGAGAAGTAAAGAGCTCATATTTTCAAGGGCTTCAGGGGTGTTTACTGGAAGTAAGTCAGCGGGTTGAGGGACAGTGATTGAGAGAGGCTAGTAGATGGAGCTCTTGCATTCGACTGGGGGGAAGTAAAGATAGGAAGCAGTGGAAAAGCACATCTAGAAGTCTATGACTAGAGGAGACTTGCAGAGGGCGGTTTAGGGCTTCTGGAGTTGCTTCTCCCCCCCGTCCCCCATTTTAAAAAATTGTTTGGGTACTATGGTCATGACAAGAGTCCAGAATGAAGGCTGCATAGTGGAGTGTGCTTGGCGGGGGGAGTTGTATACCAATGAAAGAATTTTTCTTTTCCTTTTCAAAGAGAAGAGCAAACTGGGGGGGGG